CTTCCGATCTCCCCAAAACCCCAAAACCCCATCAGTAGATTTTCAAAAGATGTGAGAGATTTATTGATTTTGTGAGTAATAGATTGAATTAGGCATTTGATACTTAAATTAATATAGTTAGGGCCTTGATAAGTAAACTGAATCCACTTAATTAATAATAATATTTAATAATATGTTGAGATACACTCTTGCTATTGCTCTCCTACTTGGACTCATTTCTGCCACTGCCGACCATTGGGCTGTTATCGTTGCTGGTTCAAACGGCTACTGGAACTACAGACATCAAGCTGACGCTTGCCATGCCTACTAAATCATGAAAAAGAATGGTATTCCAGAGTCTAACATCATTTTGATGGCTTACGACGATGTCGCTAACGACCCAGAGAATCCATTCCCAGGCAAGATCTTCAACAAGCCAAACGGAAAAGATGTCTATGCTGGTTGCAACATCGACTACAAGGGTGATTCAGTTAACCCAACTAACTTCCTTAGCATCCTTAAGGGAGATGCCGCCGGTGTTAAGGGTGGAAATGGAAAGGTCCTCAAGTCAACTGCAAACTCAAAGGTTTTCGTTTCTTTCTTCGACCATGGTGCACCAGGTCTCATTGCTTTCCCCAATGAGTATCTCTATGCCAACGATCTCAACACTGCCTTCAACTACATGCACGACAACAAGAAATACGATGAACTCGTTTTCTACTTAGAAGCTTGCGAATCAGGATCAATGTTCGATGGTATTCTTAAGAACAACATTAACATTTACGCTATCACTGCTGCCAACCCAGACGAATCATCATGGGGAACTTACTGCTACCCAGATGATGCCATCAATGGCGTCCACATCAACTCATGCCTCGGAGATCTCTTCGCAGTCAACTGGATGGAAGACTCAGAAGCTGAAAACGTTCACTCAGAGAGTCTCGCTGCTCAATTCACTAAGATCCAAAAGGAGACTGACAAATCCCACGTCATGAAATACGGTCAAGAAACCTTCACCAACGAGCCAATTGGAAACTTCCAAGGTAACTTCAACGATGCTGCCGTTAAGCCAAAGGTTGAAGGCTTCTTCGATAGACTCGTCCTTAAGGCCAAGAAAGCTGCTATTTCTGCCAGTGACTCAGAGAGACACATGTCAGCTGTCCACTCAAGAGATTCCAAGCTCCATCACTTGTACTCTACCCTCCAAACCAAGGGTGGTCACAAGATCTCAATCGATCTTTCCACTGAACTCAACTCAAGAATGAGAACTGATCACGTCTTCGAAGACTTAGTACCATCTCAATTTAGACCAAATGGCGATCAAATCATCAGACCAAGAAACTTCGATTGCCTCAAGCAAGCTGTTGCTCAATACGAAAAGAGCTGCGGAAAGTTCTCTGACTACGATCTTAAGTACGTTAGACAACTCGTTAACCTTTGCGAGACTCTCCCAAATTCCTCCGAGGTTCCAGTACTCATGAAGAGAATCCAAGACTCTTGCGAGCACTGATCAATTTCATCTTAACCAATAAGGTTTAGTTTTAAAATCAATCATAATTCCTAACAATAATTTACCTATCATCATTTTTACTCAAATTTTCAAATTTACTCATTATGGGGTTTTGGGGTTTTGGGGTTTTGGGG